GAAAGGAAATTAAGTATCTATTGAAAGATATATTTAGTAGAATAGTGACTTCTACATATTTAAAATTTAGATATTATATTCAGGAAAAGGAAATTTACCAGGATTTTTGGATATAAATGATGAGAAATTAATTGGTATTTGCAAGCCTGTAAGCACAATATAGTTTTGTGCTTATGTAATTAGAGTGATTGGTGAATCACTCTAATGTCATAATTGATAGCCATAGTCCTTCAAAGGGGTATGCACAGTAAGCCTGATGATAGGTACAGACATGAAGACAACGTAATTCATTTTGTCTATCGTAACATGCAAAGTAAATTAGCTTCCCTTTAACTTAGGCTGTGAAATTATGCTATTTAGTTTATGTGCATTATTCTTGAAATTCTGCATTCCTGTGAAGAGGAATGTCAAAGGTTGTGTTAGCTGTGCGGTGAGGCAGCACAGCATGTCCAGGCACTTACTCAGGTTGAAACCCTGCTACACACATCTGCTGTCATTACCCTATGCATCTGTGCTGATAATTTTTAAGAACCAAAAGTGTACATTGCTATTTTTAGTCTACTTATTTTCTGTTGGGGGTGATGGTCATTATTCTGACATTTTGTTGCATATATGCCCATCCTCTGCTCCCCCCACATCAAAATAGATGTTTTCCTATCTACTACACAATCTCACTGGGCTCAATTTGCATTTAGTTCTCTGGGGAGAGTTAATAATTTTATTTTCAAAAGGTCACTTGCTGACACACAACCTATAAAATAGTTAGCTACCCCAGATTCTTTTCACTCATTCCTCAAATACTCGGTTGAGTTTGGTCTTTTTAATTCACTACTGTAAGTCCATTGCCTCTAGGAATTTCAATATTGCATTACAGCATAACAAACTATCCAATATCACTAATGGCCTATTTAGGAATGAAATGCTTTTTTTTTCCCTGGTTTTAAGCAATTTCTAATTTTGAAGGGAATCAGGCACCATCTACAAGGATACAGTTAATAGCTCCCTGAAGGGACATGTCAGTAGCCAGGTCATAAAAATCATGCATGCTTTGCTCTTTCAGCCATAAGGCAAGAGGAAAACAAATACGTCTGTTTTCCCTCTGCATTACCTTTGTGGTCTGAAGATGTTTGAAAAATTACAGCCATTATATTATTATTATTATTGCTATTTTTTACAATGTGTCTGAAATATGGATTTTTATTCATGTTTATCTATTTATATCTGGTATTTATCTGTTAATGTCCTTTCCTCAAGAATTTACTTTCTAAGATGTCTTCTTTCAAAATCATATCCGAAACAGAATGCAAGTGCTGGGATGGATATAGTAACATATACCGTTTGCGAATTTGCCAGGCAAAACTGTTAACTGGAAAATTCAGGCAAAAGAACTAGTTAGTGAGGGGAGAAATTACTCAACATATTTATTTTGGCTGCTGACATGGATCAGATTTGTGAGATAATAGCTTTAATTCCTTGTGATAAAACACACCAATCCTCCCCGATTTCTGTATTGCAAATGTGCCCCAGTTTAAGACAAAATCAATCTAAACGCAGTGCATTTGCTGTGTCATTGTAAATGGTGCTTGGGTAATGAGCACCTCAGGGATGGATGGGAGAGAACACAGCAGCAAGGAGGAAAGAGGAGTGGGTGGGCTAAGGGCAGGGTTTATGGTCCAACCCAGAAAGCAGAACGAGGGAAGACACTGGGAAAACATATTCAAAGAGAGAGCCAGACAGTGAGGTGCAGAAGACTCAATAGAACTGGACTTAAAGTGGGGAGGGGGAAAGATGTCATAAAGGTGTTTAGGAAGCTCTCCCTCTGGGGCTATAGGCACAGGGAGGGGTGTCTATTATTAGGTGGCTGCAGGGAAGCACCTTGGATTCAAATCCAAAGTCTTCACCTGAAACCCAGGCAGATTTGGAAAGGACTTAATTGTTCTTAAGAGGAAAGGAACTAGTGTTTTTTGAGCTCTTCCAAATGGGCCTGGCCTTCCACAGATGTCATCTCATTTAATTCCGCACAGCATCCTTATGAAGTAAATTACAATAATAATAATAGCTAACATCTTTTACGTGCTTAGTATGTGCCTGGCACAACACACTCATTTTGAATTGCCTCTTCCTAACAGCCCTTTGTAATTAAGGAAACGATTTGAAGATGGGGTAATTTACTCAAGGAATTTAAATCCAAATATGTTTGGATGCAGGAGCTGGAATTGGCATCCAAATGTGTTTGATCCAAATCCCAGACTTCCTGGTGTACCATGATGCTTCCTCAGTGAGTGTGAAAACCAATGGAGATGGATAGAGAGCCAGGTTAAGTGTCAATTTGTGACAAATTGTATCTGACGGGTGAGCTGAGTGCCCGCCACTACTTGGATAGGCCATGCCTTTTTCTAAATCTCTCATAATGAAGTCAAGATTATGGTCAAAAGAAGTTTTTAGGGTGAGGATTTCCATAATTTATGCAGGAGCAAGAACAATGAGTGGAAATACAGCCAGGCCCATCCCTAGGTTACCATCTAGTGATACATAACCAAACACACAAAAACAAAAGACTCCAGACCCTCAAGTCTTTGAGCTGCAGTGATGAAAGGAATCTCAGGAGAATATGAGAAGGCATGATCAGATGATACTTTGGAAACTGTTATTTCATTCAGCATCCCACACTGCCCCTGGACTTCACAACTGCCACTTAGAGAGGAGGTAATTCTGCTTTGTAACTGTCGCCAAATGTGAGGAGAGAAGGTCTTCCTGGAGAATATCATTCTCTTGAACTTGAAGGTGGATCTGCTCTCCCCACAGCCTCCACAGGCTACTGCAGCAGTATTTGGAGATATGGCCTCCAAATACTGCTGGAGGAAAGGTCAAAGAAGCCAAAAACCAGGGGATCAGTAGCTATAGCAACACAGTCCTCTTCTCCACCATAGATGCCTGTGGGATTAAGAAAACTTTCATCACTGGATTTTCTTGGCTTCTGATGATCCTGGATGTGGTTGTGGTGTGTCTGAGTGTGATTATTTTGAAATTTGAGGTTTAGAACCAGCCACCACCAAGTATGCTCAGTGGGTGGCATTGCCTGTGTTCTTTCAGACATAAATGGGAGATGTGAGCTCAGAAAGAAGGTTTTGTATCTAAAATGTAGTATTTTATGATTACATTATAATTTTTATAAATGAACCTTAGTATCATTAAGCTATATTATGTCCTGGCTTTCAGCTAGAATTTTGTAATGTGCTATTTTAAAAAAGCCTGCCATACATGAAGTCTATAAAATGAACTTGCTAAATTCTGAACTTCAAACAACTTTTTTTCTCTTCAAAATGCCCCAAACTTCATGCTATACTTTTAACTTATGATAAAGACTTTATTATATGCTATGATGGAAAGAAGAGCGTGGCATATGAGTTAAGACTTCTGGTTATCTGAGCTTCAATTCAAGTTAATTCCCCTAAGTGCAAGCTGTACCTGATGCCCTGTCTACTACATGAGGTACAAAGCTATAAGTGCCCCCTAAGGAATTATTTAAAATTAAGGAATTTCAACAACTCCTTGGGAGAGAACACATAAGAAGAGGACATAAAAATCATCTCCCATTTCAAAGTGAGTGTTGAAAAACCAAAACACTCTAAATCACATCTTGAAACCATGCAAGAAATTAAAGTTCCAACTCAGAAATAATTAGGATGGAAAATAAACATGTCCTGGCTAAAGCAAATGGCTGGGTTGGCAGAGAAGGGGAGTGAACAGCTGTCCAGCTGTTAGAGGTGTTTAGGAAAATGTGACACAGTAGGACTATGCCCTTGAAGCTGGGCCAGACTCTAGGTTCTTAAGTAGAGATTGTCTCCTGTGGCATAATTTTTTGATTAGGATTCAAAAATGGAGCAAAATTTTATGTTGGAGGACAAAAGAAAAACCAGCCCCTAGAATTATCCATGTGGTAAAGTGTCAGATACCATGGCTTAGACAATAACAGGAATTTTCTGTTTTGCCACTTTCAGACTTAATTTTCTTCTTCTTTTGAATCAGGAGGAATTACAAAAACCTTTTGTATCAGATTTGCAAATACCAATAAATTACCCATCCCTACTTTTTTCCTTATCAGCTTGCCCTTTTGACAGGCTGCACAAAGTAAAATGAATAAATTCAGCACATTTTCCTGTTCACCAAGCATAAATTATTACTAACTGTGGTGAGAGGCTATTTGAAAAGCTGTTTTGAGAGAGGAGGATTCTTTTATCTATAAATGATTCTGTTTGAAATCACAGTAGATATTGTCTTATCTTTGCGACCTCAGGAAACTGAACTATGATGACATATTTCCATTCTAAAGAGGGCAACAAGAGGATGCAGGCATAAGCTGAATAAACTCGACTAATCTATTCCTGTTCTTGGTTCAGATTCCCAGTCTTTGAAATACTAGGAGAATTACCATAGCATTAGTATGTGATATGACACCATTGCATGTTATCTGGGGTAAATTATAACTGGCAGGCTTCAACTCTGGGTGGAAGGATTGGACTTAGGGTTGAACTCAGAAATCCCTTCCAAGTGAAATGCATTACGTGTCTCTCATACGATGGCCCTTTAGTAATGGGCTGTTGCTCTGTAATTTTTGCTGGTCTTTCAGCTTGTATGCATTAAGTCATGATTTCTGTCAAAGAAGCTCTGCGATTCTCACACCTGAAAGCATTGTAGCAATTTGATGAAGTATGAATTTGAAGTAGCACTGACAAAATATATATCTACCAAATGATTATAGCTTTTATTCAATGACAAACAGCATGGAAATTCATAGATAGTTTTTATGCAGTAGCACATTTATTCTGTCCTCATTTCATTTGATGCCTGTCTTCTGCCTTTCGACATAATAAATTGGGCATCGAACCATGAAGCTGGCATTTAGCATTAACGTGTTATATTGTACCGCTTACCATTTTGCTATTTCCTTGATTGATTTTTCTTTCTTTCTTTTAAGTTATTTATTTTTTATTTTGGAGGAGTGAAATGATTTCAGGCTCAATGATTTCTGAAAATGAACGTTTTTAATAAAGCAGCTCTGGACTGTGACTCTAACTATTAGGGCACTGGCATTAAGGAAAAGAGATTGGACAGTTTGAACCTTGTGTGGTAAGGCAAAAAAATAACACTGAATCAAAGTGTCTTGGCTCTAAGCAGGGCTGACTCATAACCTTGGCTTTCCAATTCAGAAGGAAGCAGTGCTTTGGGGGGACTGAATCACCGGCCCAGGCGGCACGTGTGTGAAGTTGAGCAGTAAGACCAACTGCTCGGCAAGCCATGTTGGTTGTTCTCTCAGTGAAGTGAAAAGCATGTGAAAATTACTCATTCTCATATGTTAGGCCTTAATGTAGTCTGCACTGTTGATCCGTTTATGAGAAATGTGCAGCCAGTTTTCTTAGCTCACCTGGGTGAAAGTTCAAATAACCAAAACCCTGTGTGGTAGAAACACGTTTGAAATATAAAACTTCAGGGTCAACTTTGACCACTCTTCCTTTCCTTTCCTGGAAAGAATTTCTTTAGTCACCCCATCTTTGTCCCTGAAATGCCTCTTATGGAAGCAACACTGTGACCCTTGTTACTTCTCACCTCATCAATGTCATAGCCTTTAAAGGGCATGAAGGGGTTAGGATTCCTCAGTTGCAAGCAACAGAAACCAATTCTAGCTAATAAAATGGAATTACTGGGAGGACATAGAATCAGCAGGAGGATGGACAGTTGGTCTTGCCCAGAGGAACAGGGCACTCTGCAAGGCCAGGAAGCAGGGAGTATAGCATCTGCTTCAAACAGGTTGAGTCTGGCTGGGGCCAGGACAACTGCGGTCATTTCTTCTAACTTTGTATCATTGGTTTATAGTGTCCAAATGACACTTTTTGTCCCTGAATGGAAAGAAGGAAAATCTGATCCTATGGCTTACTACACTCCAGGAATTATCATCCCGCTGAGACCACACATGGTGGAAAGAGGTAATTATCAAAAAGGAAACTGGAGGGGCATTGGGAGGTGAGAAAGGAAGCTGGGTGACAATTGTCCGTGAGGAGACATTATTCCTCCTCCAACTTTTCATCTCTCCAACTCATTTCAGTTAAATTCAACAAACATTAAGTTTCAATTCTGCACAAGACATTGTGTAGAAAAGAGGTTTGCTGCCAGTCATGTTGCATTTAGTGGGGCCATGCACGCTTATGGCTTTTCATTGAGGAGTGGAGATGAAGGATTGCCACATCTGGCATTCCATCACTGAAGCTTTTAGTAGAGCTGTGAGCCATGTGAGGCCTTTGACCGCTTCTACATTTCCTACCTGCTCCTCTCTGGTGTTCTTTCTCCTTCTAAGGCTCACTACTCCCTCTGCGTCCCTTTGTGTCTTAGCCTTACTCTTAGCTACCTGCCAAACAATATCACTAAGAGGTTAGCTGGAAACAGACATCAGGGATCTTATTGGGGTGCTAGAAATGTTCTAAATATGAATTATGGTCATGGTTACACAACTCAGTAAATTTACTAAAAGCCAGTACATTTTACATTTAAAACAGGTGAATTTTATGGCAAGCAAACTATATTTCAGCAGTTGCTAAAAAGATGTTATGTGATGATCAAAGGCCAGAGAAGGCACTTGTTTGGTTGGAAAATACTTTTAGAAGGGAAAGAGTAAATTTAGAGTGGTGGAATGATGACAGGAGTGTTTGACAAGCCAGCCCATGGCACCAATGGTCCAGGGTTGCAGAAAACCAAAGCTCAGGAGCAGCCCAACTAGTGACTGCTTGATTATCTGCCATCACTTTGCTTCAGGAACTTTGGGGCTCAATAGGTGCTCCCAAGGAGTACCCAGATGCTGGTCCATGAGCTCAGACTCGGTACCTCACTGCAGTAGCTCCTCTAAAGACAGGCTGAGAGCAAGACTGCTGTTCCGTGACCTCCCTTTGCTTCCCAATTTCTCCCCCTTCTCTTTGGAAGTTCAACTGATGGAAATGGATAATATCATACAATTTGAACTTTATTATTATTCTGTATTTTTCTTTTATTTTTTTCTGATTGAATCTTATTCAAGTTTAGTGTCCTGATCTACAAAGGTAGGAACTCTTCCTACTTCCTTGGCATCTCCCACACCATCTACAGTTGTGTTAGGACCTTAAAAGTATCCTTCTATTCTCTGCTGGCCTCCCTAGATTTCACTGAGCTGTGATTTGTGGGAGGGGAATATTTATTGGCCCCTGTGCCATGTCTTAATGGAGGATGGAACTTCTGCTGTCTTCCCAAATATAGGTGTATTGGAATCAACCCTTCCTGACACTTTCTCTAATCTCCCCCCTGCGCCTCCTCTTTGGTGAATGAATGGCTAATGCAAATGGTCAAAGATTGATATTTCTTTTGGAAAATTATAAAAGCATAGGAGTATGTTCCTCCACAGAGAATGGACATATGTCTATCTCTCTAAAAAAAGAAAGAAAGAAAAAAAAAAAAGGTGGGCTCCACCTCTTCTTCCTTCATTGCCTGCCTCATGTATCGGTTAAAAGGGCCATCTTGTCCTTGCTTTCTACGCCAAAGTAGGCTCTTCCTATATTGATGATACTGATGAGGGGAGGCAGGGATTTTCACTTTCTGTTCTAGCTTTTCTACTTACTACTAGGGGGCTACTCAGGTCTCCCCTTTTCCATCAGTCTATCTGTCCTCGATCTGAGATAGAAGACATGTAGCCAAACCTCATTCTCTAGTCTAGCAGCTCTCAGGAAGCTTAAACCTTGGGCAGAGGTGTATTTAGATAGTTGCTTAGTCTGTTATAAGGCCAATATTTGGATTCTTGTTCAGATGTCTGTCTGGGCATGTCTGCTTTATTGGCCACAGCGATGGAGGGGAAGGAGAGTGAGTGGAAATTTGGGAGCCCAAGCACTACCTTAAACCCCTAACGTAAGATAAGCCCAACAATTGGGTTAACCAGATTTTTGTGTAATTTTAGTTGAGACTGCCCTATATCTTAAGTAGTAGTGGTCTGTGTGGACATCAGTGCATTCTGTATGTGTGCGTGATATAGTTTTTGACTCCATGGCTATACAGAGCTGCAGTAGGGTGAGATTCTCAACTAGGCTATCAAAACTGTAAACCCTAAAGTCTGCACTGAGTTTAGGGTCAATTTGTGCAAGACTTGCTAAGAAGCTTCTGAGTTTGGCTGGGCGCAGTGCTCAATGCTTGTAATCCCAGCACTTTGGGAAGGCAAGTTGGGCAGATCTCCTGAGATCAGGCGTTGGAGGCCAGCCTGGTGAATATAGCAAAATTCCATCTTTACTAAAAATACAAAAAATTAGCTAGGTATGGTGATGCAAACCTATAATCCCAGCTACTCAGGAGGCTGAGGCAGGAGAATTGCTTGAACCTGGGAGGCAATTGCAGTGAATTGAGATTGCGCCACTGCATTCCAGCCTGGGCGACAGAGTGATACTCCATCTAAAAAATAATACTAATAAAAAAGAAGCTTCTAAGTTTGTATCCATCTTTATTATTCATCTCCCTCCAAATCCTCTTGGCCAGTCTCAGTCATTGTTGAGCTCGCACTTACCCTGTGGCAAAGCCTACACTTGCAACGTGTTCCACTTCTTGTTTTCCTCCGAAACACGTTAGTGACGTGTTAGCAGCATAGTGCTGGAAGAAAGTAGACCCTAAGTTAGTTACTATCCTTTTTAGAGGTGAAGGATGCATTTCAGCATACAGCCTCATGCACATAGCTATATCTCAAAACCGGCATTTTGTCCCAAACGTCACCCCCACAACACCTCCACACACCTAATTCTTCAAAATACAGCTGGCACTCTAGCTTAGTGGTTTTGTGTCTCTCACTAATTATTCCCTACATGGGAAACATTTCCACCTTTCTCCCTTCCTTGTGGCAGCCACATGGAGAACTGAGATTGTTCAGGATCCCTGTGAGGGCCTCCTCAAGTCCGTGCCTGCTCCCCAACCTAGATGGTTCCTGTGGAAAAGAGATAAAGAGTAGGGACAGAAAGGGGCCCCCAGTGTGCCTTTAAAGCAGGAAACACGTTACTGGGTTTTCTTGGCTGCCTGGCTGAGTGAGCTGTTTATTTCTATGAATAAAACTCCATATTCATTGCAAAAGTATAACAACACCACCGAATAATAATATACTGTAAGACTGTGTCGTCTAAGGATGCCAGGGCTCAGCTCAGTCTTCTGGTTTTCTGATATCAAGTAACAAAATGTACCCTCTCCTTTTTGCCCCCTTCTCCCATGGTGGTGAGTGAGCTTTGAAACCTTTTTGATTCTGAATAAGCAGCAGAATGAAAGGGCCTTCATTTAAAATGGGGAGGCTGAGCCAGCTTGCTTTCTCTCCAGCTTCCTCCGTGAGCTTAGGAGCCGACCTTTTGGCTCAGCGACGGGCCTGCTGGTTAAATGCAACCACTGAACAATCACTTTACAGGATTTCCACCTTATTAAAAATCGAGTATGGCCACCAGGGATTCCAGCATAAAGGTAATAAAAGAGCACCTAATAAAAACTTTAAAACGTGTTAAAACACACACATTCCAAGACTGGTAGGTAGAGCGATCTTTAACCTCCACTAACCCCTGAAGACTAGGATTCAAGAACGCGAGATGAAAAAATGAAACTAGAGCTACAGACTTGGAATTAGAGGACACTTTCAAACCCTAAACATTCTTTTTTTCTTCCTCCAAAAAAATTGTTTCCTAAATGGTGGAACACTCATGCTGACTGCATTGTTTATACCTGATTTATACTTTCTCTATTTCAAAATGTGGGCACTAGTTCTATAAATCTGTAAAAAAATGAAAACATTTGAACACTTGATGACAAAACCATGTTTTCTAATTTTAATTAATGAATTAAGATTTACATGGAGAAAAATCAGAGTGTCAACCTCTATAACCTTGGATGACATGTATCTTACATCAGAGCACAGGCACAGTTTCTCTGTCATATCCTTACCTGCTAATAAAGAAAAAGTATAAAAGGTAAATTTTTTGAGCACTTGCTGACATTGTCTTTTTGCTGTTCCTCTTAGTTTTTTCTTAGGTAACTTCAGAAGGGATCTGGTTTTAAATTTAATGGAACATGTAGATGTTCTCCAGTGCTGACGTATAAGTGATTTTTCTTCTTGTCGTTCAGCTTGTACACGTTTGCATTTTCCTCTGGAAAAGCAATGCTGGTTCCCATCATAGGGAACACAGTGAGACTGTGAGTGCCATATTTATTAGATTCATTTCTGAATATGAGTAGAGTTAGAAAGAGGGCAATGCAGAGGATATGGAATTATCCTCTCATTGGCCAGTGGTGACTAGCAGCTGTGGCAGAAGAGTTAGGAGTCAGATTCTAGAAGCCAAATTTTCCTTATAAAGTGGTAGGATGTGATGGGGAAGGTCTGGAACCAGCAGGCAGCTTGTTCTACTTCTTTTGTTAACAACTTGTTTAGCTTTAGGCAAGACATGGCACACCTTTCTCCCTCAGCCTTGAGGAACATTTCATCTGCAAAATGGGTGCATATGTGTGTGTGTAGGGTGGGGGGCGGGTAAGTAATCTCTAAGCTCTGAGCTTTCACACTCTGATTATTTGATTATGGAATCAGAAAAATTTGAAAGGCCCTCCTAGGATTTGCTACTTCATTGCCTTGTGTTATAGCAATTTTACCAAAAGCACTCGGGATAAAGGCAACCTGGTCTAAATCAATGCTAAAATAACTCATTTAGGGAGTGCTTTCTCTGTGGGCTTCCAACAAATGTAACTAGGATAAAGATCTTCAATCTTTTCTCTCCAGAGGATGGGGAAGAGGACTCCCCTTGCTGAAAAAAATAGATTGTGCCCTATAAATTATGCCCTAATAAAGGCAAGCGGCTGTGCAGGGTTTTACTCACCATTGTATTCTGAATACTTAGCAAGGTGCCTGTAGGCACTGAATGAATATCTGTTGAATGAATGAATAAAGGAAACATTCATCAGGGTCTATGTGTGACTAAGGATTTTAAAGAGATATCTGATTTTTAATGGGGCAATTTCTCATGCCAGGAAAGCTCAATGGACACAATTTATAAGTGTGGGTAAGGCTTAGGGAAGGACAGAAAAAGGAAAGAAATTACACTGCTTTGAACAATAATATGGTTCTGCCTTTATTGTGAGTTAAGACTGAGTGGGGAAAATATTTCTCTTATGCACCGTTGGTTTAGAGTGTTACACTTTCTGAGAATGCTGACCAACAGGGATAGGTGTGTCTTCAGTTTACCTCTTGAAGATGACTAAATCAAGGGTCTACATCCATCTAGTGTTCTGCTGCAGGACTTAAATGTCAAAACCAGAACACACTCCTTGGGATGTGGAGTTGATAGGGACAGGAGGCAGAGAAATTCTGGGCAGAAAAGGGTGGGGCCCTTACCAGGGGGCCCCACCCTCAAGCCTGAAACAGTGGCCCAAAGTGAAAACTTTACATCCTCGTTTTCTCGCTTGAATGTTGTCTTTTCCAAAACCACCCCTGGCCCTCCCTGCCTCCCATCCTGTATCCACAGAACCCCCAGGCTCCACTGGCAGAGAGTAGAGAAGGGGAGGGAGGAGAAGAAGCTGAACATTAGAGAATGGGATTTGATGTAGAGAGAACCAGCTTGACTTCAGAGAAATTGCTTCGGAAGATCACCTTCCTGCTCCATCCCTTTCAGCTCCCCTTCCCACTGAGAGCCACTTTCATTGGCAACGAAATCCTCTGCATTTACTACCCTTCAATTCATTTGTGTAACCTAATTTTTCCTGGACATTGAACCAGAGCTCGAGTTCCATGGGTGGGGGCTCTAAAGGCTGTCACACTGACCCTCTGCCATCGCTGAAGGAGAGCAACTGCCTCATGGGAAAAGGCAGTGGGCCCACTGAGCTGTTTAACACTTACGCTGCCTGCAGGTGGCAAAGCTAAAAGAGCACTATAACACATACCCTCTGGGGCTTTGGGGGTTGTGGTTACTCCCCCCCAGATGCTGTTGCAGGCCCACATGGAGTTTTGCTCCTGCTAGCACCCCAAAGCACTCCTTCCGGCTCCAGTACCCCCTCATCTGCATGCTTTCCCTCCCACAAGGGATTGAGAGCTTCAAGCTAAGTGAGGCCCACAAAGAGGTTAGGGCAAATTCCCTGTTTCAGTGTCAGGCCATTGTGACCTATTATCCTCAAGGCCTCTGGTTCTTACTCCAGACCAAGAATCTCAGACCTGGGAATTGTATTGCTGCAGAGGAGGTAGATATCATAGATAGAGAGGGGTTTCTCAAAAGGTAGTCAGAGAGGAGTGCAGGTTAGAAGGAAGTTGCTCTTGAAGACATGAGGATATGGGACCCAAGTTAGGATCTGAGATTTTCTGAGGTGGCTTTTATGAAGGATTTAACTTCTGGGGTATTTTTCTTTTGGAACATAAAAAATTTAGTTTAGTGCAAGGTTTAAAAACTTTCTTTCCTTTCTGTTGAAACTTCCCTTAATTATTTTAACCTTTTAGGAGATTCTGATAGTTTCACTTCTCTTGCCTTTTTAGGCACTTAAAAGAACTAGAAAATAATAAATAAGGGTGTTTTTATTTTAGAGAGACCTGCCATACTTACTTTTATTTTTTGTCAAGGAAGCAGAATCCCACAAACTAAACTTAGGTACCCAGGAAGGTCCTGGGGAAGCCAAATATATGCAGCTGAGTCACTGTGCCCAAAGCCCACCTCGGTTGGCCTTCATTATGATAATACTTTTTCAAAATGAATGCCTTTAATGGGGCTCACCAAATTTTCGAACATTTAACATTTTCATCATGTAATCAATAGCATAGATGTGGAAAAAGCAGCTTGGCTTTGTCAAGGACCGTGTTAGCTCAAATAGTTTGTGTTACAATAGGACCATTATTATTTGCCCAGACAACCTTGAATGCTTCTTTGTGGTAATTGTTTGGTCAATTGGACAAGAATTATCAGCAACAAAGGCAGCACAGAAATATAAAGATCACACATTTGTTCTCATTTCCAGAGGAAATATTTTGGAAGACAGATTTTCTGGAGTGTCTTTTTTCCCCTGGTCTCTAACTTCATTACCTAGTCCTGAATTATATGATTGCTGTTGCTTACTCATAGATTGTGATGACTCGGAAAGGAGTAGCTGCCAGTCTAGAAAACTCTGCTTTTGCCTGGTAAGCCAAGGACCCCAGGATGCTGAAAGCTTTAAAGTGCCATTCAGGCAGGCAAATAAAAGTTAAGTCAGGCCTAGACACTCAAACAGTTGGTTTTTCAGTCTGCAAAACCATTCTTCCATAATTACTGAAGCCAGAAGTTTTTTAAACTAGAAAAAAATTTAAATTTTTTCTTCATTTTTATTGTTGTTATTTTTAAGATAGCTTTTTATTCTTTTAGAAGACAATACAGCCACATCTCAGTACCTTAATTTGGGTAATTTTTTTAAAGGGATGAATTACCACATTTTGTTTATAATTATAAGGATCAATGGCTGCTTCAGGCCCCCCGTAAAGCCAAGAGTCCATTTGCTGAGAAATAGAAACAGAAAACTAAGCTGATTTGCCTGGAGAACTTCTACAGGCTAATGGTTTGAGAGAGGTTTTATCTCTCTAACGAGTGTAATATTAAAATTAGGTGGGTTCAAGAGGTTTTATTTTTGCAGTATTTGAACTAAATATATATAGACATCTGCAAATGCCAATCATATAACTTATGTGGGCACAATGAGTTGTTTGTGCTAACACATATGCTGACAGCATTTGTTTTATGCACCTGCTTCTTCTCCAGCTCCAGTTTGCTTCGATCATTTTGATTTTGTTTTAATGTGCAGGCGTCTGCTGAAGTGTCACCACTTAAAGAGCATCTGGGCTTGTATGGGTTTTCAAACTGAATCCACATTTTAACAGTTTCTCACCTCTCTATCTGGATTAGAAAATTACCGACATCATGGTAAGCAATATTAATCGTTCTTTCACATTTCAAAGTGTTTACATTTGCTTCTTGGTTATAATCCTCAATTTGGAGTTTGGCTCCTTGCTTTGTCTCAGGTTCCCTTGGGCCTTACAATGATGCTTATCATTTGCATAGCACTTTTAAAACCCCTTTCAATTGTTAATTAATTAATTCATAAAATGTCCTTTCACAGTCTCCATTTAATGCATAAATAAGCAAACTGAGCCAAACAGAGGTTAAATGACTAGGCCAGAACCATACGTGGGTTTGGCTAAGTCCTTTCATTAATTTTTTTTAAATTTCCGGGAAGGAAGACACATTTTAATTCAAGGGCTCACCAAAATTTGCAACTTCAGCATCATCCTATAGGGTCCGTTCACGAATTTCGATAATCTGGGGAAATACTTGCTTTGTATAGTGTTAGGTTTTCCAGTGGAAATGAGATGTACTGGGTAGCTTCTTAAGATCATGGGACCTGCTACGATCTACAGGCTCAGGCCAAGCCTTTGAAAAGGATGAGCTCTCCAGCCTTTTCTTAAAATTAAACTGTTTTTTGATGTTTTCTGAAACATAAGAATTACTGCCCTGGAATACAATATTGCTTTGGATAGTACAAATACAAAAATAAGATAGAAAAGGTTTTTCTTACTAAATGCCCAAGAAAAGTGTGCTTTTTCTGCTCCTTGTCACACTTGGGATCTACTGGGCACCTTTAGCATCTGGTGTACTGCAAGACTTCAGTAAAGACCTGCTTACTTGGCTATTACCCTGAGTTCAGAATAGCATCTAAGCTGGGAAGAAAAGCTCCTGCTCTAGAAAAAGAGTAAAGGAAAGATAGAAAACAGAGAGCTGGTTGAGAAGGTGTCTGTCTGGTGGAAATGGATGGGGGAGAAGGGGCAAGCCACTGGAGAGTAGTGATTAATTCTGAAATGGTCACTAGGTTTCCTGTACCCAAGTGCCATGAAAGGAACTAAATGGGATATTATCTCAGTTTCCTAGGGCTACTGTAGCAAATTACCGTAAACAGGGGATTTCAAGCAAAAGAAACCGATTCTTTCACAGTTCTGGAGACAAAAAGTCCAGAATCAAGATGTCAGCAGGGCAACTCCAAGATGTCTCTTTGGAGGCTCAGAGGGAGAATTCGTCCCATGCCTTTCTCCAAGCATCTGATGGCTGCTGGTCGCCATCAGTGTTCCTTGGCTTGCAGCTGCATAACTACAGTCTCTACCTGCATCTTCTCATGGCCACCATCTCCCCACATCTCTGTGCCTCAAATGTCCCTCTTCTTTCTCTTTCAAAGACATCAGTCATTGAGTTTAGAGCTCCCACTAAATCTAGGATCACTTATCTTTCTTAACCTTAATTATATTTGCAAAGACCTTATTTTAAAATAAAGTCTTACTCATCCGTCCTAGAGATCAGAACTTGGATATATCCTTTTGGACACACAATTCAACCCACTACAGATATCATTTCTCCAACCTCGGGTCTGGGGAGAAGCTGAAATAGTGACTGGGGTCTACTGCACCCTTGGGTTTCCAGATGAAGATGGCTAGTGAGTGTTTCTGGAGACAGCTGACACGTGCTTCCTTCAGCCTCTCTTCATCCAGCTCAAGGGAGGAGTTGCTTTGCAGCCCCAAGAGACCCCACTGTATCTGGTGTCTATGGGAGAAAGCCTGCTTTCTGGGTGGCAGAGACAGCCTGCATGCCATGCATACGAGCAGGCAGACACTTCCCCTTTCTCCGGGCCCTGATCCTATGATGATTCCTTAGGCAGCTGGGAGAGAAGAGTAGCTCTATAACTCCTGGGTTCATGAACATTGTAAATGGGAGATTTCTTTGCTCATGGTAATACATGGGAGACAAATTTGGGTACTCTAGCAGTGTCTTTGAGCTGACCCGATCCTCTTGTTCTCTTGCCAAACACCCCAAATTTTCTCTTTGGGGGTCTCCACAATCTTTTCATTACCTAAGTTAGTAACCTGATGTATCATCCTGGTTGTTCCCTCTGTCTCGCCTGTTATACCGAATCAGCCCCTGGATCATATTGATTCTCCAGCTTTCCATTTCCTCATCCAGTCTTTCCGTTTCATCCTCATCAGCTCTATTCTCTTTCAGGCCACCATCACCATCTCCTGAACTACTAACCTTAGCTGCTTTTCTGGTTTGTGTTCCTCCAATTAATTCTTTCTTCCAATCTTACCTGCTACTCTGCTGTGATATTGATACTTCTATCAATTTTTAGGTACTCTCCTACTTTAAATCTTCTACTGGTCTCTGTGACTGATAACACCCAAACTCTCTAGCAGCCCACAAACCTCTTCATGATCTGATGTGTGACAGATGCAATTGTACTGCTGGGTCTGCTGTCAGTGCTGCAGACATGACTTCTGCTGAAAGAACCCCTGGGTGCCACAATCCTGAGGCGGGTGCTCCAGTGCATAGCAGACCTCTTCACCCAGCCCAGTGCTTACCAAACCCACACACCAAGATGCTACCAACCAATCAGCAATACTCAAGACAGTTTACTTTTTAAATACAGAGTGTGGACTCTTGGCTTTAAAAAACCTATCCTGTTTCTTCTTCTCCTGAAACCTCGTCTCCCAGAGCCTAGAGAGACTCTGTGCTGGATTCAGTTTCCTGCTTGGCAGTAAAAATCTTTTCCCCTGAGTATTCAGTCATTGGCTCTTTAATTTTTAAACAAACAAACAAACAAACAAACAAAAAACACCTCTATCTCTAAAGCCTCATATTTCCTCCATTTCCTCCAAAATTCTCTGTATTCTAACCATTCCAAACTTCTTAGAATTCCCTTAATAGCCATGCTTTGATCCCTCCATGTACTGCTAATGGTGTTTCCTCTTCTGGGAACACCAAATGGCCTGTGTTCACCTGACTATCCTTCCAGCTTCAGTATTTGGTCTGCTGATTCTCTTAGGCAGGCCTGGGAGCTCTTTTTTTTTTTTTTTTTTTTTTTTTTTTTTTTTTTTCTTTTTTTTTTTTTTTTTTTTTTTTTTTTTGGCATTCCCATAGCAATCTAGTAAATGATAATAGAACTTAGTGTACATATTCAACACCAAAATAGAGCTTTTAAAACCATGGGTCAACATCTTATTAGTGGGTGGTAAAGTCAATTTAAAAAGTAAAATAGAACATAAAATATCAGAGTATATTGCATATAGTAAGAGTCTGGTATGTGAACTTTTGCTTCTGCTGGTGTTGCTGCTGGGTGGTGTGCGTGTGTGTGTGTCTGGGGGTGTTTGTTATTGTGGGTGATGGGCACTAGACTGTGGGACAGTTTAGTGCCAGGATCTTGCCTCAATCATCTTTGTATGCCTGGGGCTCATCCCAGGGTTGGCACAGAGTTGACAGCAAATGTTGAGTGAATGGAAGAATCAGTACAAATGTGAGAATACTGTAAAAGATCCTCAACATGTTCTCAGGAGGCCAAGAAGGGTGATTGGCAAAACACTGAGGATTGCAAAACCCATTTGCTAATCCTGCCCATGTTTATAAATAATCAAAGGCAGAGGTTTGGAATAAGTCAAGCCCATGTCTTCTGCAGATATGGACTCAGATTCAGCTAATAATTAGCATCTACTTCCTTGACACATGCTGTCTTATTTAGTCTTACAAAAAAACTGCAGTCATGATTTTTCCTTTTTTGGTTCTGAAACCAAGGCACATAGAGGGTTAAATGTTGTTTTAAGCAAGGACTGTGCTTGAATTTATATCTTTTATCAGTTAGCTGAGTGTTCTTTTATGTAGGGAGATGTACAAGTCAAGATGTACCAGCTTCTGGGGAGCTGTGGAGGAGAGTTAGGGAGGACCAGGGCAGCACAGGACCCACGCTTGGTGATAGCTCAAAGGAAACAGCCACACAGAGAAGAAAAACATTAGCATATATTTGTTACAAAGACTGGTAAGGCCTGTGAAGAAGTGATTTGAGTAGGCGCGTCAAAGGTCCATTAACCAAAAAGCAGAAGACACAACTCTCTACGTGTGACAGGAAGTATTTGTCATACAGTTGTACGGTCACGGATGGGAGCCACCAGCAGCTGTTGTGTGCTGTGTGCACATTAACCACACAATCATGGAGATTGATCTGAGAGCCTAGTCCCCGCCCCATTCCCCTGTCAGCCTTCACCTGTCTGCTCCCTCCTCCATCCTCCCTACTCCACTGTACACTCACCCCCGCCCTGGCCCACCTCCTCTTCCACCTGGATGCCTCAGAGCAGATGTGGACAGAGCCATATGTTCCCTCGCTCTGACTAATGCTGCTGTGCTTCTAGATTGGCTGAAGTTGGGTTGTGATTAGTGTTTACTGTTATTATCACCAGGTCAGATAATAGTGATGGTTATCGATTTGCCCAGTGCAAACCTCTTTGTTTATTAGGAGCCTTGTACACAATGAAGGGAACACAGTGAAAGACAAACAAAAAATATTTGTATTCATTTATTGAAAATGGGCAGTTCAAGACTATGTCTTTGGCTCTGTCCTGTTGAACATTTTCATCAGGGACATAGAACAAGACTTAAAAGACCCGCTGATCAGATTTGCAGCTGGCACAAAGCTGGGCAGGATGGCTAATAGGCTAGGTAAGAAGAACAGATTTTAAAAAGATCTTGACATTTGGGACAAAAATCCAAAAACAACAGAAAACAGTTTAATAAGAAACTTAAGGTCCTGTACTTGGGTAAATAAAAATCTGCTTCAAATGTGTATAGGCTAGGAGGAAGAGACTTTTCGTTATAGCAGTTCTAGGGAAAACAACTAAGGACTTTTAGTAGATATTGGTCCTATCATGAGTTAATGAAAAAGGTGATGCAAATTAGGCAGTGTGAATAGAGGCACAGCGTCCAGCCCGGGGCCCTGCACAGATCCCCACATCTGCAGGACTCCGAGTGTCTGTCATGTTGAAGATAAAAATAAAAACATGTTATTGATTGAAAAACATTTTAAATTCTTCCTTAAAAATTATCAGAGGCCAGGCGTG